TGCTCACTCAGCCTGTGACCGCGCGTTTCTATCTCCGGCACCCGACCCCGGGTGGAGTCTCCAAACCCAGCAGATCCCTGCGGTGCAGTCCCGCGCGGCTCCTCCCGGGGGAGGAAGGTGAGTCTCCCCGGATCTGCCGCTTGTGGGGTCCCTGCTGGAGGAGCAGTGGCCCGACTGGGCCGCGGATCACGGTTTATGGCGCCTGGGCTCCGCCTCTGTAGCCGGCTTCCCTGCTCCATTACCTGGGAGCTCTGCCGCACTCAGGCACCCCCGGTCTTTCTGTGACCCCGAGGGTCCTGAGACCACACTGTCCCACGAGGTTTCCACCCCCCGCTTAGCCACTGGAGCTATGTCCCTCGGCGGAGCCAACTTCTAAAAGTTCTGATTTTGTGCTCCGCTGCTCTATCACTTGCCAGAAGCAGCCCACGGAGGCCCTGTGCCCCGCCGTCTATCCTCCCGAATATCGCCTTGTTCACTTCTCTACATCTCCTACCTTCCAGAAAGTGGTCGCTTTTCTGTTCAGAGAGTTGTTGCTATTCTTTTCTTCGATCTCCTGTTGAGTTTGTAGGTGTTCAGAATGGTTTGATCCCTCTCCAGCTGAATTCCTGAGAGGAGACGAAATCCAGGTCTCCTACTCCTCCGCCATCTTGCTCCCCACCTCCTCTCCCGCACTCTTAAGGACCCTGTGATCACACTGGGTCCACCCAGATAATCCGGGCTGATTTCACTATTTTAAGGTCAGCTAATCAGCAACCTTAATTCTACTTGGCCATGTCACCTATCATATGCGCTGGCTCCAGGGAGTAGGAAGTGAAGATTTTTAGGAAGACCATTATTCTGCCAGCTACAGTCACTCTGTGGTAGGAGAGCCAAAATTTGAAGGCAGGCTTTCTAAATCTAGTGTAGTTTCAGTGATCAATGAGGATGTCTTCGATGGAAAAGTCTGGTTCAGTCTTTGTGAGATGTTGGTAGGTGGGGAGGGCATGAGACTTGAAAACAGAAACTCAGTAAAAATACCTGTCAGTGGGGCGCCTGGGTGGCTCAGTCGGTTAAGCGTCCGACTCTTGATTTTGGCTCAGGTCATGATCTCAGACGGAGATGGAGCCCCGCGTTGGCTTCTGCTGGGCTCTGCGCTGGGTGTGGAATTTGCTTAAGATTCTCTCTGTCTCTTTCTTCCTCTGCCCCTCCCCCCCGTCTCCCTCTCTAAACAAAACAAAACAAAAAACCAAAACCTATCAGTGCTTTCTTTATTCAAGGCACTTGTTTATGTATAGAAGGAATACCTAGAAAACAGTGTTTCTGCCTTCCAGTTGTTTATGATCTGATTGGATTATGAGTATATTCTCCCATGCAGAATACATAAGTCTCTATCAGAGAAACCTATAACAAATGAATATGATACTATATTAATTAAATAAGTAAGAATTCAGATGCAAAATGTAAGCACGATTTAAGTTTCACATTAACCAAATAAGTTAGGATTTGTTTTATCTTTTTCTTTCCTATGACAACAAACATTATACCCATGGTGGAAATTTTGGTTTTTAAAAATCTTCCAACATTCTCAACCTTGAAAGATCATCTATTATAAATAAACTCACAATAGCATCCTTATTTAAAAATGTCTGTGGGCTTCTTTATTTCTATGGAAACCTGTTGCCCATGTACCATGCCCTTGAAATGGGAAACAGCTCATGTTCATGCGGTACCTTCATGTCTCCACTCTTGGATAAAGTATTTTGCTTTAAACAGATTAGGGGTGATTTGCATACGATGTTCCCCTCCCCATTCTATTCACCATGGTCATTTTAGAGTTACATTTATACGAGGGAAAACTTCTTTCTTTTCAGAAAGTCTGACATTCTAGAAGGGAGCATGTTGTAGCTAGGCTGATACTGTAACATTCCCCAATTTGCCAAAGTGGCAGGGTGATCTATATATATGTATATCATGATATATATATATATAGTTTATATATAAGCCTATAGTGTTTTAATATGTATTTTCATGTTTATTAGGAAAAATTTATAATAAGCTCATCATATGCCTAAATTCATGGGTAATTTCGCCTCGGGTGAGGCAACAATGAAACAGCAATCAGTGTAAAGCTATTTACTATTAAGTAAATAACACAGTAAAGAGAATAAAACAAAAATGCACGGGAAGTCCATGAAAGAGCATTTGGCAAACAAGGGCGTAGTGGAAGAAAGCACGAATTTTAGAGTCAGACCTAAGTTTGGATCCAGCTGGATCACAAACTAGCTTTTGCTTCTAGACCAGTACTTAAATTTCTCTGGGTTTTGCTGCAGTGGGTTCTTCTTCAGGTTGTTTTGAGCCAAATGAGATAATACATAAAAAGCCCAGACACGTATTGGACACCAAATAAACGTTAGTTCCCTTCTTTAAAAGGCAAGTAATTAATTTAATGTACTTAGGTATTGTTTATCCACTGTGGTTCTTATTCATGAATTAAGACAGCACAGTCAACTGACTTATAGGCCATGGAGTTGGGACCAACTGTCAGCTCTTATGTGCCAGGGAGGGAAAGAAAGGACAGATGGACAAAGCTGAGGTCAAACTTTGGACTCCAGTCTCTTAAAGAGGTACTGCCTCTTCATCAGTGTGAAGTCAGCTTTATGCAATCAGTATTGAAGCAGGTGGCTGTTATGTGTAGGCATTAGGTCTCAGCTTTGAGGATTTGCTAATGGTCAAGAATATTCATGACACCTCTGCCTTCATGGGACCTGTCAGAGAGGCAGACGTTAATTGAATTATCCTACAAATAAATAAGCTATATTATGGAAAATGTTATAAAGAAAGGGCACCACTACCATGGGAGTGTAAACCAGGGATGCCCTAGTTAGTCTGGAGGGGTAGGGGAAGATCTTGGCCAGTGGTATCGGAGCTGAGATCTGAAGGCTAAATAGGGGCTAACCCAGGACAGCAGGAAGGAAGTCCATGCTTACTAAGAGGATTACATGAGAGGGAGGAGGGTCAGAGGGAGAAGCAGACTCCCCGCGGAGCAGGGAGCCCCATGCGGGGCTCGATCCCAGGACCCTGGAATCATGACCTGAGCCGAAGGCAGGCGCTTAACGACTGAGCCACCCAGGCGCCCCGAATTCTCATAGCATTTAAAAAACAGCAGAAAAAGTATAGAATTTCACTCTCTGCGAGTTCTCCTTTGTGTGATCTTAAAAGGCTCTGCTTTTTTTTCCTGGTGAAAGGATGAAGTAGTGTGAAAGAGAAAAATGAAAAAGATATTCTTCTAGCCAAGCATACCTGGTTTCATTTTTGCTTACTGCCTTCAAATTCTGTGCACAAGCACAAATTACACACACACGAGTCCCATGCAATTTTTTGTGTTTACACACAATTTTCTAAGTGGATCAACAAGGTGGAATAATGATTTTCTCTAATGGCTGTATTCTATGACATTGTAACAAACATTTGGTCAACCAGCCCCCCACCCCCGTCCCTGGGCATTTAGCGGATGGCAGTGGTGAGTCATTATTCTAATAATGAAATAACAGTCAGTGAATGTTTTCATAGATGTAGTGCAACCTGACTCAAACAGACTAAACAGTGGTATCCAAGCGGAACAAAGTGTATGAGTCCTTCATAGCTTTTGTGGGATTTTCCCATGCTACTTTCCAAAAGGATGATACCAGTCTGCGGTACCACCAGGTGGGGTGCGACCGTGCTGATTCGTAAATGAAAGTGTTTCTCTGTCACTTTCCTAATCTGGGCTTGTTTTGACAATAGGGCTGATCATAGCTGTAGCAACCGTAGGAGCAGTTAGTATTCTGGAAACATAGCATGGGAGAGCAGGAGAGCTGGTGCTTTAAGAACATTGTTCATAGTGGCTAAAGTTATGAACTCTGGAGGCTGACTTCATGAGGTCAAATACAGATTCTACCACTTAACCTCTAATTTGCATTCATTCCTTCCTTGCAAATGATTCATGGGGTTACCGACTGAAGACCAAGTGAGTTTACATAGTAGAGCGCCTGATAAGCCCTGGGTAATGTTGATTATTATTCCTAATAATGGGTGTTTTTTATTAACCTCATTTTACAGGTGAGAAAACTGAGAGAGGAGGTGAATGGCTCAAGGCCACTTAGCTCCTGAAAAGAGGGGCTGGGATTCCAACTGCAGGGGCCCGTTCCCCAAGAGCTACAGTTTCAGGGATGATGCAGGGACCAGAACTCAAAGCCGAGAAGTGTTACTGTTGCTGCCGAGTTAGACCGAGGCGGAATCAGGCACGGAAAAGGACAGCATAAGGCCGCTGTGTCTCATTGGAAATGCCATGACATAATTCCTTATTTCCAAGACAAACAATATAGCTGGGGTGTTGTTGTTGTTTTATATATATATATATATATATATATTATTTTCTTCATCCTTGAGATCTGAAGGTAGCTCTGTATGTGTCACATGGGATTGTGAAATCCTGCCTTGATTACATGGGCCTGGTGGACAGCAATCCCAGGGTCGCACTCCGGACCCCTGCAAACGCCTTCCTTGCCTCAGGAGGGCTCTCTATAAATTCTTCCTGACCTGAATTTCTCCTAAACATTACCATAAACACTTTCGGTTATTTCTTAATGTGCTTTGTTCATAACTGCTTAGTCAATTATTTTTATTAGCATAACATTCCTTTTAAGCATAATGATGTTAGAAAAAACAAACAATGTAAGCACATTTTCTTAGCTATGGCTGATTGCCAGTGTTTTCTCTTTCTTTTTTGGACTTCCTTTGCAGATTTGATGAATTAATTGTGAATTTCCCAAGGGGGTCCTAACATGAACTGAAATTTGTCATTTATTTTATAATGTTTAGTTTCTTTTCTGGTTGCAGTGACTATCCTTTGAGACCGAAATTTGAATATTGCCAAGGGCTCATAAAATTGCTGATATAACCTGCTTTCTCCAGAGAACCTGACTTTAGTTTTCATAATGAATTAATGACTTCTTTCTCCCCTGATTTCTTTGCTCCCATAGCTATTTGTGGAGACCACTGATGTCAGTGGCAAAACTCTCGAGGGGCCAGTTCCTCTGGAAGTCATTGTGATTGACCAGAATGACAACAGACCCATCTTTCGAGAAGGCCCCTACATTGGCCATGTCATGGAAGGATCGCCAACAGGTATGTTAAACTGGTTTACATTAGCATAACGGCTTGGAAAGTGGCATACTGCGATCTCTGGGGATTCTAGAGACTGTTTTGTTGCTACTTCAGCTTGTTGGTATGCATCAACACTGACATGTTATCTCCCTGGGTAGAAGCAAGGGCTACACATCTGCAACTCAGAACAGGACTGGGGTGTTGCAGGTTATGGAAGTCTCTCGCCTCATCTCTGAAAGCCATCTTTCAAGGATGACCAGCATCTAAGTCTCTCATGCACGGCTGACGGTAGACATCGTATAAATACGTAACTCACCCTTGTGAGGGCCCAAGGTTGAGCTTTGTGGTATGACAGGGCTTTGAAGAAAATTAAGGTCCCCCCACCAAACTCCTCGCTTCTTCCTTTCATCATTGTCTGTTAATAAGAACCATTTTGGAAAAAACCAGGTAGGACTTATTTTTTCCCTTTCCTTACGCAAGGTGCATGGAGAAACCTTTTGTCTTCAGTCAAAGGGCCAAAGGCAAGACATTTTATTTCTCTCTGGAAACACATGCACCTACTGTGATGTTACTACAGAGCTCCTCTTATCTTTCTTCCACACTTAACCTTTCTATCAGGGAAGGTTGTAAAATTTAGAGCTCCCTTTTTTGGTGCAAGAGATACCAATAAAAGCATTCTGTGACTGGCAGCAAAAGTCACGGCTGAGTATGATGCTTGAGCAAGTGAAGAGCAAAGTCGAAAAATCCCTATTATGAGACTGGACTTTGATTTTAAGCTTTAAAATCCATTTGGGTGAGGAAGCACCATAGGGAGAGTCTCCCTGTCGCTGAGTCTAGATTATGCCCAAACAAATAAGTCATTCAGCTGGCCAGACGGGAGATGGAAGCCCGAGCACTGCTTTGACTAGTTCTATTTTCCCCCTTTGCTGAATTGATGGGATATATCAATAACATGTAGATATATAAGGCTCTGCAAACGTTGTCATGGTAACCTGCCTAGACTACCCCATGAGTAATTGTATGCACGGTGCCCACACCTCCTTCCAGCTTCAAGGAGCTGGGTCTCCCTGCACTTCATCAGCTCCCCAGGGGCAGGAGGCGAGCTTTCCTTTCCCAGATTTGAGGGCATTCTGTAAAAAGGGGTGGGTATTGCCTGTGGGTGCTAGGGAGCATTTGGGGGAGCCCAGGAGATGGAAGAGTAGCAACCGGCCTAGAAAGATGGGGAGCAGCAGGTGAAGGTGGGCCGATCACTTTCGGCCAAGCCTTTCCCTTGGCACCTCTCCCCACCTCGTAGGCTGCTTTTGATGGAAGGAGGGCTTCTGGTGAGAGAGACCCTGGAATTGGGGTTCGATGTTCACAGATACCTTCTTAAACAAGCTGATGTGCGAGACGAGTCAGGGGAACTGATGGGGAAAGCTATTAAAGAGGCTGGAGTTTGAGCAGAACAGGAAAATGATTCCCAGTTTCCATCTGTGGTGCTGGGGCCCTGTCTGTGAGTGACTGGAATTCGAGCGGGGCCAGGAAAGTGTTCTAAATGTAAATAACAATGCTTACGTCGGAGACGGCTGTGAGCATGTGCATGTCTTTGTATATTATGTGTGTCTATGATTAGACGATGTCCAATTTTCCTCCCACTGTGCCCTTCCTTAAAGTTTCAGAAAGAATTTCAAATTTTATATGTATATATACATGTCACATTTTCAAAGAAAAATGGAATCTTTTATGTACACTGAATTTCTTAAAGCACAAAGTAATTCGGTTAGGGTGGACGGATCTCCAGCAAAACATGAACCACCTCCAACTCCTATTTATGATTGGTGCTATCCTATAAAAATACCTAAAGATGCGGATGGCTGTGTGGCTTCTTTCAGCTCTGCAGAATTTGGCCTGAATCATTGTTGTTGTTTTTTTTTTTTCGGCCCCCTCTGGGTTTGGTTTTAAAGCAGGAATTGAAAGAGAGTCAGTCAGATCTGGGGTCAAGAGTGTGGAAATGTTGTGGAAAACTTTTATTAGAGGAAACACCACCTAGATCACTCAGCGCCTTCTAAGGGATCTCAGGCATGATGGCCCCTGAAGCCCTGATGAGGGTGGTGGGAATCTGGAGCAGGGCCTGGGATCCCTTTCCAATCCTCCTCCCCAACCTAAACCACTTACAAGTTAAAACAAGGAACCCTGACCAGTTGTAGAAATAATGCCCTGCTCCTTTATGGTTGGTGGAATCTTCCGTGTCGGAGACGCTATAGCGGATCCATTTTACAGAAGGGGATGCTGAGCCTGGAAAGAGTTCCGTGACTTTGCCTCGCTCACATAAAGAATAGCTGAGGGGCAGTGTTCAGGCAGGGTTCATGTGCTCTTTCAAGTGCCCCACAAACTTCATGGTGAAAACAGCCATCAAACTACGGCAGCATGGGGTTGAGTGCTTACCATGTGCCAAGACCTTTATGACCTAGTGTCCTTGCCTCCACTCCACCATTCCCTCCCCAGAGGGGTGGATACACTCTCCCCATCATACATAGGAGAAAAGTGAACCTCAAAGAGATCCGGACACTTGGCCAAAGTCCCACAGCTGGTGGCTGAGTCAGAATCTTTGTCTGCATCTCTGGCTCAAGGCACGGGCGGGCTCCCGTGTATGGATTGGCATTGGCCACCTTCCCTCCCATTCTTCACCATGGACTCTTTTCAGTCCCAGCCAGAGGGCAGGTGTTTGCTCTATCAGCAGAACTGATGGAGCTTCTGACGGAAAGTAAACCACTCTTCTGACCAAACATCCAGCTCATCGAATCACTTGGTATAACGTGTGTTGTTGCTCAGTCTCTGAGGTTGCACAGTGTTACGTGTGGGCCTTGTTGTCACTCACGTTGCTTTCTTCTGAGGTCAAGTCATCAGGGCCAGTGTCGTGGGGTGTGACCTGCACAGCCTCACAGGGCCCCACATTCCAAAGGGCCCCACGTTTGGTATTAGGCTCTGCTGTCACCACCTTAAAATTCTTAATAAGTAATGAACAAGGGTCCCTGCATTTTCCTTTTGCACTGGGGTCCCCCCCTCAATTCTGAAGCTGGTCCTGAGCACCGCACTGTGGTCCAGGGCTGGCTTGATGCTCCACTCAGCTCTTTACCCAGGTGAGACCTTGGGCAGCTTACTGAACCTTCTAGAAACCTCAGTCACCTTGTCTGTAAATGGGGTGGGTGCATGATAGCACCTGCCCTAGAGAACTGTATGCAAGCATTAAATGAGACACTGCTTCTCTCAGCATTTACAGTAGAACAAAGGTTCAAGGGAAGCTAGTGCATTGTTAATGCCCCCTATTATTCTTATTATTCCTGCAGCATACCGTTTAGGGGAGGTAAGGCAAAGAGTCAGGCGGTTTGTGCGAAGGAACATTCATCTCCCGACAAACCGAGCATTTTCATGTTCCAGTGTACCTGGATACGCCATCAGCACCAATCCGTCATGGAGGAAGGTCACCCATATTTATCTGTATGTGCAGACAGGAGACCATTTCCAGCCGCTCAGCACTAAAACTCCAGGGTGTTATTTTGGGGAATCAGTACTGGAGGAGGGAAGATCAACAGAAAATGATGGTCTTTGAACTTCACAAATTATGAGCTATTCCTTTCATGGAGTCACAAGACATTGATTTATGGGACCCAAGCCCCAGCCCTGGCTGCTCTGTGGGGCCAGCCAGAGCTCTGTGTGAGCCTGGTGTTTTCTGAATGCCCAAGGCATGCCTGGACCTCATGAGTGGGGACAGAGGTCTGGGGCCCTTGAAGTTCCTGGAGGGCACACATGCAGGGGCCCCACAGTGCCTACTAGGACCAACTCCCCGGTGTCTTGCCACCAGTTAGTCTTCTGGGCACCGTTGAGAAGGGCCAACCACAAGACCCAGAGATGAGGTCTGAGGGTACGTGGTTTACCTGGGAGGTGCAGGATACTGGATGAGGAGTGCTCCAGGTAAGGGAGGCCAGCTACCAGGGTGGGCAATTGTGAGCTTGATCCCTTGGGGGGTGGGGGGGGCCCCTAGGAAATGACATAAACAAACACACATTAGAGTTACCCCAGCCCAGGGGAGCTGGAATATGCATCCCACACACCCATCAGATAGTGGCCACCAACTATCCCCAGAGGGACTTTAATTCCCAGGCACCCTTGGCCACTTGCGGACTGCGCCAGCAGGGGCAGCCTTCCAAGAGGATACAGGAGCTGGCCGTTGGGCTGGCCTCAGCTGTGCTCTGCCCTCCGTGTTTTCGACCAGCCCGAATGTGAGCAGGGGCAGCTTGGAGGAAGGCACCTCCCACCTGGACGGATGGAGCGGCTTTGAGAGATGTCAGGGGAGGGAGGTGATGGGAGGAATTATCTTAGTCTCTAAAAGGCATGACCAAGAAGGACAAATGTGATGTTGACCTTTCTCATTATTTTTTTAAATTTTTTTAAAGATTGTATTTATTTATTTGAGAGAGAGAGGAGAGGGAGAGAGAGAGTAGGGGGAGAGATAAGCAGACTCCACACTGAGCATGGAGCCTGATGCTGGGCTCAATCTCATGACCCTGAGATCATGACCTGAGCCGAAACCAAGAGTCGGATGCTTAACTGACTGAGCCACCCCAGGTGCCCTGACCTTTCTCTTTAAATAGGGGTCAGGACCTGGAGGTGCACATTCTGACTCCTAAGAGAGATGACACTTCTCCTTGAGCAGGTGGAGAGAAGTAGAGATTAACAGCTAAATCCTCTTCTGACTTCTGAGAACACAGGTGCCCTTGCCCTCTCTGACTTCCTCTCTTGCTCCCTCTATTTTTGTTCCATCCGGTACCATTACTGAGCACCTACTCTGGGCCAGCACTCTTCTGAGCTCTGGGGGGGCAGCCGTGGACCTGTCCGATGCTGCTCATTCCCTCCTGGTTTGCAGAGCCAAGCAGGGAGACTGGCAACAAGTAAGAATCGAAATGTGGGAAGCACTATGATGCAACCACATAGGACACCTATCCCAGAGGGGTGCAGACCAGCCTCCCTAAAGAGGTGCTGTC